CCAGAAGCAACGGCTTATCAGTTAAAATACGGTCTGCCATTAGATGCCCTCTCGTTTATCTTGCAGGCTCCTCAGAACTCCATTGTCTCGGGTTTTCTCCTGTTTGGTGTAGGGCTGGTAGGCTTGGCGATAGGACTGCAAGATGATATAAGTCACATATACGTTTAGTTGTATGTCAGAGTTTTTTTGGTAAAAAGAATGCTTTAAAGCACTAACATAAAATTATTCTAAGAAAGAGCCATACAGTGAGATAAACACCACAGTTAGGAAATTTTTTGAAATTTCTTCTCTGTGTTCCCAATCACTTTTATAACACTAACTTTTTTCTTGAGTTTCCTGAAAATGGTTAATAATGGACTGGTAATGTGGACATGGTCTGATATTTTGTATCGTGGGTAGTGTATAACCTGTAGCACTTTATGAAATGCTGAGTTTTCTGGAAAGCAACCGAAAAGGATGAAGTAGGTCGCTGGACAGCCTCCCGTATCCGCTTCCTCGGCCGCCCCTCTTGCGGCACTAGGACCCAGTGGCGATTCCTCCAAAAGACAATACCAGCCACACTTACAAAAAAGATTAGGAGCCGTATAGATTGTAGAGGAGAGAAGCGTACCTGGTCAGATTGAGCGGCATTGTGGAAGAGACCAGATCAACCATCGTTCTTGTCTGCTGCTCAGTCCAGTGAGAGGGGAAAGCCCACCAGTCCCTTCAGAAGTAATTTCTTTCTTCTTGAGTGTTGAGTGCGCCGTTAATTAGAAGGTGGTTCTGAACTCGGACTTCCCTTGGCCACGAGGGCTTTGGTGTTAATAGGCTGACAGGTAAGAGACACACAGCACGGCATGTTGACTGCCTCTCCTGAGGATCCAATCCCGGCCACGTGTGTCTGGCCAGAGAGGAGGTGGAGCTTTCTCAGGAGGGAGGCAAGGAGGAGACGAAGCCACTGAGCGAGAGGTGCGGCAGGTGAAAGGAGGAAGCGTGCGTCACAGCCGCACCAGCGCGCGCGGCCCCTTGTGCAACGTAGAGACACCCTCTTTATGGGCTAAGTCACCACAGGCGCTCCCTTCGCCGGCAGTTGCGGTGGATTTTATCCCTCCTTGGCCCACCCCCCGCCCCCCCCCCGGCACAGAGGATGCCCACCCACAGTGGGAGGTAAGACCAGGGCGTGTGTGAAACATAGGTGAGCAAACAAGTGAAGATGTGAGTGAGCTGCAGCCTCGGCAGGTGGATCCGGGGGGGTCTGCAAAGAGAGGCCGACCAGACTAAGGGCAGGGCCCGTCCGAAACCGGGGGCGGCAGGGGGGGCAGAAGGAAAACGGCCCCTGCTGGGGGCCTGCCCTGCTGGGGGCTTTGTGTGCCCCGTGCTCACATGTGGCTGACATCTGAAAACGCCACCTGCCGTGTGCACTCACGTCCTCTGTACCCCTTTGCACAACCTCGTTGGCATTTTTCTTCGCTTCGCTGCTGACCCCTGAGGAACTCCCTATTTTAGAAGAGCCCCCAGCATGTTTTAAAGAATGATTTCTTTTTTTCTAATTGTAGGTCCTACCTGTTTCTTGATAGGTCTCAGCTGGGGAGAAAATAAGTGCTAGGTACACGGTGACTGCTCCGTCTCCAACAAAGTCGTTTTTAGAATAAGAATCCACAGGACAATTAAATGTAAAAAAAAATCCAATTGATTGCATGGAATTTCCTGACCTGTAAGTAAAGGTTGGCTCAAGTAGAAGCCGTGTCTGTGAGCCGGAGCCAGCCGGCAGGGGACCAGCGCGTGGCGTCCTGGGCTGGAAGGCACCTCGGCGAGACCAGGAGCCTTCCTCTGTCCCGTTGGATGAAGGTTGCCCATATCTATGTCAGCACCCAGTCCATTGCAGGTGCTCGACAAACACATGGCTCGTGAAGGAGTAAAGCTAACATTAAGTCGTCCTGACTTACGCAGAACTATACAGAGTAATGGAATTATATCATGTTTTTTAAAATGTCATTTCTGATAATATAGAAAGAATCCACCTTATGATTATCTTTAAGTAGTTGTTTGAGGGCTTTTCTAAAGACAAATTTGAAAATTATTAATGAAAAGATTGTAGATGCCCAAGAAGCCGCTCGTGCTGCGGACCAGCTAATCCCTGCCCCGCCTGCAGGCCCCGGCTGGTGCCCTCTTCCTGCAAGTCTGTTCCCAGCAGCTCTGCGGCCCTCCTTCCCCCTGCAACCCTGCGTCTCACCCGCACACGACTCCTCGGGGCTCCCAGGCGGGCCTCCCCGTGGCCCTGCTGCCACCGTGTGCCCTGATGCACTGACTCCCCTTCTGCCTTCCTGGGACCTGGGGCAGGGTCCCCCGGCCTCGAGGGACAGGTCCACCCACGTTTGCTGAGCGTTTCAGCGGAGCTGAGCAGTGGAAGTAAAGAACCCGCGGTTTTCCCCACCATGAGCTTTCCTTCTCCCAGGCTCCTGTTCAGATCTCCACCCCCCGCGCCGCGACGCCCACCTGCACTCAGCCAGCGTGGAAGCCGCAGCGTGGCCTGCAGCGATTCCGAGCCCACAGGCACACGTGAAGACCTGTGTGGGTTCCATACTAAAGGGGCGGGTGGGGGGAGCCGCCAGAACATGGGGACATTCGTTACCGTTTCAGGAGCCTGGGAAGGCACCGCTGCCCTGCCCGGGTGGGCCTTGGGGCGCCTGTCCTCCACAGGGGCAGCGCTCAGGCAGCGGCTCCACTGTCCTGCTCACGGGTGCGTCCCGGGTGCTTTTCCTTCTTGGCAAGGAACACGACAGGGTGGCATCTGACAGTGGGAGGCGCAGAGAGCACATGATGGGGGCGGGGCGCTCGAGGAAAGTCCGTGGGTGCTCACTTCCCCTTCGACCGCTCCGGCAACGACAAGGGCGCACTCGGGCGGGCGGGCTGCGTTTTCAAGGTCAGAGGGAAACGGGCGCTGTGAGTCGGCGGGTGAGGAGCTCCTGGGAGGCAGAGGACCAGGCGGCCCAGAGAGGAATAGTGGAGCGGCCCCTCAGGCCGCAAAGGCAGGTGACATGTCACGAGGAGGGGGCAGTCGCCTCATCTGAAAGAAACGTTCAACGTAGGGGACAGGTTGTCCTAAGGAAAGGGGGAGATGGGTTGCAGCTTCGGGTGTATCCAGGCGCCAGTTGAGAGCCATTTAACGGGCGTGCACGTGTGCCGCAGCCTCCGTCTGCAGAGCCACCGACGGAGGAGAACTGGATGGAAAACTTCTGGAAGTCAAATCAGCGCCTCGCCTTTTCTAGTATAATCTTAATACTTCCCTTTCAGCAAAGATTCAAGTCAAGCAGAGCGCATTAGTGGATTCAGTCCTTCTAGGAACGCTGAAAGGCTCCCTGCTGAGTTTGGGGCACTGACCCAGAGGCCCCAGCGAGTTTAAGGTCCCCCGCCCCCCAGCCCCCCACTGGCTCCCCGGCCTCACCCGGTGCTCTTTCTGGAAGGGCAGGGACCCCGCACGGGATCTGTTGATGGAGAGACGCAGCTGTTCCCGGTGCCCTGAGCTGGGCGCTGGACGGCTGCGAACCGGAGTGGCACTAACAGCAGAAAGCCTGCTTTGCTTTCAACTGTGCAAGAGCCTGTTGTTCGCGAGGGGCACCCAGCCGGGACGGCCCCGTCCCCATTCTGTAACGGCAGGCCCGGCCTTGAGGAGGTAGCCTAGGGCGCGCTGCCTGTTTGAGTGCAGGGAAGGTGAGCGGGCGCCGCGCCGGGCGTCCCGTGTCCAGCCCTCGGCTCTGCCCATGAAGGAACCAGAGCCCGCGGGTGCACCTGCGCAGCCGCGGCGGAGGCGGCGCCCCGTGCGTCCTGCTGCGAATGAACCTGAACCCCCGTTTCTCCTGGTGCACCCTCTCTTGAAAGGCAGTCGGGGCGGCAGGTGCTGTGGCTTAGGCACTTTGCTGGTGAGGACGGGCGGCGGCGTGCGCACGGCCCTCGCCGGCCTGGCTGGCGCCGCAACGCGCTTCGCCTGTCGCTTTCGTGTGGCCACACGGCCCCCGAGTTGGGGGGAAGTTAGCATGGTAACAGAGCAGTGACCGTGGTGAGTACCGTGCTTCTCCTCATTGCCTTAAACTGCATGTAACCTTTCAGAGGAAATGTTGCCTTCAGTCTAGCTTAATATATTGAAATATTTTGCTGTAGACTTTACATATAGAAGAAACATTTAGTTCTCTTGTAAGATTATCTCTTAAACATACACACACCAAAAAAAAATGCATGTTATACTGGCCAGATGGCTGGAGGTCTAAAATTACTTCTATTCATTAGAAGCCCTAAAACCTCCTGACTTTGTATCCTCATGTGCTTAGGCCACTTTGAAATATCGGGTGTCTCACGGCACCCACATCACCGTTTCCTCTTGGGGTGAGTTTTCTCTAGAATTTCAGAAAATTTCTGAGAGAAATAAAGTCATACCTTAAAAGATTATTCCAGGATTCACCTTAAAATAGCATTGCAGCACGCTGAAATATATTTTTGCAGTGAAAGCTTCGCCGTATTCGGTCATGTTACAAAAAGTGTTAGTGTTCTTTCTACTGCTTGCCTTCCCAATTGGTTGGAGTGTGGCATTTCCTGAGTTTTCCTTGGCGTCCGCTGTGGACCTGATGTCTCGTTCTTTTGTTCCCATGAAGATTCCAGAAGTGTATTTCATTAGTGACCCCCATCCGTGCCTTCTCACAAAGGACTCTGTCGAGGTACACGTGTGGCGTTCGTGCTGAGCGGGCTCTTGTGCTCTTGGCTGTGTGGCTGCGAGCATGGACTCACAGGCCAGCGACGGCCCGCGGCCCGCATCGGCGCCGCGGCTTGGGTGACAGCAGCTTTCGGGAAGGGGCGCAGGGCTGCTGCTCCGCCTCCTGACCCAGGGGCGGCGGCCTGAGAGCGGAGCGCCCGGGGCCCTGCCTGCGCTCCTTCCCCGGCTGACTTGGGACACACTGGCGCGGCCCAGGTGCCCGACCGCGCCCTCGCTGACGCACATCGAGGGTGACAGCCGCCCCCCTCCCCCGCAGGCCACGGAGGCGCAGATCCAGAGCTTCGGACAGACGCCGTCCCAGCTGCTCATCGAGCCGCACCCGCCGCGGAGCTCGGCCATGCACCTGGTGAGTCCCGCCCGCTCGTCCGGATCCCGGATCGGTCGCTTCGTCGTGCCTGGAGGCCGACCAGACTGAAGACATGGTGTGCGCACGTGGCGGGGCTGCGGGGCGCGCGGGCGCCCTGGGGGAGGGCGGGGGAGGGCGGGGCTCCCGCTGACCCAGCCCGGGTTGGGGCTCGCACACAGCCAGCCCCTCCCACAACTCCTGCGCGCGCCCCCCCAGGAAACGCATTCCTGCGTGCGTGGGCTTACACGCCCCCCCAGATCAGGCGAGGTTTATCAGCGAGAAGGAAAAATATATAAACACAACTCACTGCCCAGCTGAATCTTTTGGGGGGCGAGGGGGAGCAGTTCCCCTTCGGAAAAGAACCGCTGTGCGCGCAAAGCGAACGCGGGCCGCGCGGAGGGGCCGCTGAGCACGGGCCCGCAGCCAGCCCGCCCGGGCCAGCGAGGGCCCCGCGGGCGCGGGTGCCACCTCTGCGCCCCCCGCCGGCAGCCCGCGGGGGCCGTGGCCCCGGCCGTGCGGCATGCAGAGCGGCGGCCGGCACGCAGCGGGGCCGCAGCCCGTTAGCCGGCCGCCCGGCGCCGTCAGCTGCTTGCAGCACGACTCGCATCCCCGTCGGCGCGGGAGGGCCGGTGTGCTTTCCTGTCCGCGTGAATGGCAGAAGCCCGTTCTGCGGACGGTGCAGCCCTTTTTCAGTTTATTAGAAAACAGTGAACATTTCCCTCTTTAGCTAATCTGAAGAAGAAAAAACGACTTTCTGATAGCTTGCTTAGAGTTTATTTTTTAAACTTATTTTTCACTAATTTTTTTCTCTAGTAAAAAATGCTTGAAGGTAAAAAGATATTCAATCTTTGCAAAAAGAGAAAAAACAAAACCAAACCAATGTGATGCATGAGAGTGTATCAGTCCCCTAGACAGTTACCAAGGCAGCCGGTGCCCCAGTTTTACAGGGAAGAGCTCTGGAATTCGGTTCCTAATACGGGAGGACACAAACACAGAAGCTCTTTTGTGATGGAAGTATTTTTTGCACCTTGAGTTTATCCGGGCAGTCACTCACCAGCTTTGTGCGGAGCCCCGCGTGTCTCAGGTGTGAGGGCGGGCTCTGGCGATGCAGAGGCAGGTAGACCCTCTCTATTGTCAGGAAGCGATTATTAAACACCCAGTGAAGCCCACGAGAAGATGAGTTTGTCCGAACACATTTCTTCCCTCTGCAGCAGCTCAGCCAGTTCCAGCCCGTGGCTGACCTTCTGAGCGAACGGCTCCTTGGGTGCCAGAGCACAGAGGCCTGCCCCGAGCGTGCCGTTCCCACGGGGACCCCCGCCCCGGGCAGGCCTGCCGCTGTGGCCTTGCAGCTCCGCGCCTTGAGAAGGGAGCCTTTTTCATAAACTGTCTGAGAGAATCTCTCTCACACGTCGCTTTATGAAACGCTCTGGCAGAAGAACTTATTCCTGAGTCAGTTTTCTCTGTTAGTAACAATGATAAAAATATTTATCCTGGATTGATGCCCGGTCAGAATTCATTACCTTCCTAGGGGAAATTGTCAGGGATGGAATTGGCACGGAACTGTTTACAAAGCGAACGCGAGCTTCCTCCGTGGGCGCCGCAGAGGACTCGCACTTGCAGCAGCGGGCGCAGGCCGCGTGCGAGCGCTCGGTGACGGACGCTGCGGGCCCCTGCTCCGTGTCCCTCTGCAGGGGTAGTCAGGGTGTGTCCCAGTCCTTAGCAACGGCTCTTGGAGTATCTGCTTTCTACCACGTCACAGGCTGGGTGTTGGAGGAACCAAGACTCGGGCAGCAGAAGCGAGGTTGGCCGCGCACAGCTTGATGGGGAGGGCGGGCGAGGCGCGGGCCGCGCGCAGAGGCGCGCAGCGCTCTGTCCCCGGAGGCTGCCCCATCCTGCTGCGCCCACAGCGCGGAACCCCGCTGGCCAGGTGAAAGGCGAACGTGCCGTCAGCTCCCTCTGCCCTTCCTGCACAAGTATGCGGAGCTGACCTGGCCGATTCCCCCGCAGCCCGGTGTTTCCACTGCGCGGACTCTTCGGGCTCCACTGCAGGGACGCCCCCATAAGCTCACTTCTCGCTCTGTGGTCCGGTGGTACCTGAGCAGGGGCTGGCGGCGAGTTGAGTGTCACCGGCCGGGGCTGGCCAGGGCCCTGCTCGCTTCCCTCTGTGCCGGGCACCGGCGCGGCCAGTGCGCCCGCGAGCGCCCGAGCCGCCCTCCGTGTGAGCCCAGCCTCAGAGCCCGCGCTGACTGGGTTCCCCTCCTGCCCACAGTGTTTCCTGCCCCAGAGCCCTCTCATGTTTAAGGACCAGATGCAGCAGGATGTGATCATGGTGCTGAAGTTCCCGTCAAACTCCCCCGTCACCCACGTGGCCGCCAACACCCTGCCCCACCTGACCATCCCGGCCGTGGTGACGGTGACCTGCAGCCGGCTGTTCGCAGTGAACCGATGGCACAACACAGTAGGTACGTGCGCCCGAGCCGGCCCGGCAGGCGAGGTGGGGGCTGCGGCGAGCTGGTCCGCCAGGCGCCGCCGCAGAGCCAGCAAGTCAGTGGCCGCGGGCCCAGCGACAGGACCCCCGTTTGTCTTCCCGTGGCCTCCCCGGGCGCCTGGCCAGCGGTTACGCGTCCATAACTATCTGGCCACGGGAAGCGGTTGTACGAATGAGCCAGGCCCTCCCACCCTGCGCTACCGCTGCCCCCCAGGAATAAACAAACAGTGCTGGCCGGGTGGCTCGGGGGTCAGAGCGTCGTCCTGGGCCCCAAGGTTGCGGGTTCCATTCCAGGCCAGGGCGCATTCAAGGGTCAGCCAACGATGCATCAGTGAGTGGGACCGCAGGTGGCGTTTCCGTCTCTCCCTCTAAAATCAATGAAGAAACAATTTAAGAACCAAACAGTTTTTCCCACATTAAACAAAGCGAACTTGAACCTGGATCTCCCGGATGATGGTGTCCAGTCCCGCGTCCCTCACGTCATGAGCTGCTTCAGCGCACACTGAACGGCCACGGGTCAGAGTCTTGCGCCCAGGGGCGTGGCGTGAGCAGGACACGCGCTGTGTAGAGACCAGAGTCTTCAAGAGATGACAGCACCTGAGTTATATTCAGTGACTTCACATGGGTTTCCTCCAAACTCATCCCTGAAGTTCCAGCCAGGACATTTTGAAACAACATAATTGGGTTGTAAAAAACACACTTGTTGATACTTATCTAATCAGGACAGAAGTGGTTCTGACCAACTTACTTAGTTTTCTTCAGAACTGACCAGATGAGCCACAGTGAATTAACCCAAATCTTTCTATTCTACTGATTTTTGTACTGCTCTGAAAAACAGAGCGACATTTGCCATGGCTCTTTCTCCTAAACTTTTCCAGATGCACCTATTTTATGGGTTTTGGTGATATTAGTAGTTCTACCTCATGAACGGAACTACTTCCATTCAGTCAGAAATGTACAGTCAACATCTTCAAAAATACAGGGTGTGGCAAAAGGAGACCCACAGTTGTTGGTATGGAAAATAACACCACAATTAATAAATGGTAAGGCAGGAATTGGCTCGCGCGCACTCACCGCGGCAGGCCTGCCTTTGCTCCACCCTGAATATGATGACTAGTCACACGAGTCTTAGCCTCAGGAAACGCTTTGCATTGAGAGAAAATTATGAAGGGCTAAATTTTTCTTTAGAATTGTTTGAAAGTATTGTATGTTATATAATCACATGCAAAAAATATGACTAATGAACTCAGTCAAGCCCTAAACATCAGTCCCCTGAAGGAAGGCTTGACTGAGGTCAAGATTCCAGGTGTGGCCCAGTTTTACACCTTCCTGTGCTTTGCCCTGTGTTGAAAGAAGGCCCGCTTGGGCGGGAGCCCCGTGCCCAGCAAGCCTGTGCCCCTCCTTGCCCCTGCCAGGCACGGCCTTTTCCTACATTCTAGGCTCATGGGTTGCCCAACAACCTTAGCTCTCTTTCCGGTTCAAGAAATGTTATCACCTATTTTATCCAGCTTTTTTTGTTAGGGCATCAATAGTCTGTCTAGCGTTCTCCATCCTACATCCTAAGCGGAGACGAGCCATCTCTACTGTAAGGATTTTTTAAAAGACCATTTACAAAGACATGTTGTGGGACTAAATCATTCTTATGATAATTCACCAAATAATTTTTAAGCAACGGTGTATCTTGTATCATCATCGTAAAACACTGCTTATTGGGAAACGCCTCTCTTCTGAGAATAACGGCAGTGTCCTCTCTCTCTCTAATCGGCAGGCCTCCGAGGCGCTCCGGGGTACTCCTTGGACCAGGCCCACCACCTTCCCATAGAGATGGACCCCCTCATCGGTACGCGGGCGCCAGGAGTGCATTTCCGTGGGTGCTGACTGTCCGCGGGCTCCCCTGGGGTCACTCGCCACAAACGACAGTTGAAGGATGTGTTTCTGCCACAAAATTAATGTGCAAATAATGTCAAATTACCATCAAAGAGCTGTGCACATCGTAATATGCCAGCTAAGAACTTTTTGGTATTAAAGCGATTATTTGTGCCTTTCTTTCACATTTCAGGAGATCAAACTGGTTCAAAAGAAGGCAAATATTTCCCAACTGTTCTTTTTTTCTGCCTAAACCAGTCTTTAACAACTTATATTATTTAAAATATAGAAGGGCTCAAAGAGATTATTAAAGAAAACTGAAACTGAAAAACATCTTTTTCAGAAACCTTTATTTAGTAGGAATAAAACATTTTTTTGAAATCAAAGGTTTCATGTGAATCGCAACTACATGAGCTGTAACTCTGTGTAGAAGGTATTGCAAACGTTTTAAAATAATTGCATACACACTTACTAGCCGTACAAGGCCCCTCATCTTTCCAGGCTGCGGTTTCTTACCTGCAAGACAGTTTATAATACTGACGTTGGTTCTGCCTCTCTCACGGGATCGTATAGAGACCTAAATGAGAAAAAAGTGAAAATTCTATGAGGGATTATTAAGTCATATTCAAGTTACAGTATTTTTTTTCCTTCGGTTAATGCACTCTTTTTATGTCCTTGGGAGGACGTAAGTTTCAGGACCAGTATTTTTAGAGTCCAGCTCTTTCTCTGCCCAAGAAACACTGACAAGGTCACATGCAGGCGATGTACGTAGGAAAATTAATGCTGTATTCTAGCAAATAATGGGCCAATGGCATATATATATATGACCTGCATCATTTTTAAGGGACTTAGAACCCTGAACGTGCCTCCTCTTTGCCGTAATTTTTGTATGATTTTTTATCGTTCACCTTCTCTAGTAATGGTTCCCTAGCACCCAGGGCCCACAAGCAGTGGCCGAGAGAGGAGCTGGCGCAGACAGGGCGGCCGCCCTCGGCACCTGCGCTCCCTGCTTAAGGATTCCGCCCGGATTCTGCCCAGGAGGACGCGCAGACAGGCACTGGGGAAATCAGCCCTGGCCCGGCTCGGCCCCACCCCAGGGCCGTGTGCTGACCCCCTGCCTGTCTCCCCTCCCGGCCTCCCGCCCCTCCTGCCCTCCGCTCCCCTGCCGCCGGTCTGCAAAGGCCTTCTGCTTGTTGACAGTCCAGGTCTCGGAGGCGGCTGACCCCTGCTCCCTGCGGGCCGCCCACCTAACAGCAGACGCCCCCTCCAGCCCCTGCCGGTCCCTTCTACACAAATTGTGAATGCCACCGGGAAATGACAGAGTGGGCCGATAGGAAGATATTTTTTCCTTCCATAGCACACCTCACGCCATAGGATTCTTCATTGTTGTTGAACTTGTCAGACGCTTATGAACTCATGGATAGTGAACATCTATAGAATTAAATGCATTTAGATGTGTTTATTGTTTTAAAATCATTATCTTGAATTCCTCATATTGTAGATATTTACTGGTGGAGGAAAAACTAAATTTGTGACAATTTTCAAATAGATAATACAGTTTATAAATGATTACACTGCTACTAAAAATGTTTCTATTTCTCATGGGTAAATGTTAAAATCTGAATCAGCCTTAAAAAATCCATTTTTGCACAAATGAAGCATGAAAGTGTTCTTCCTGTAAGTGCTTGATGAAACCCACAGGAAATCTTTCGTTACATTTTTCTCCCACTTGCGTTCAGCCAATAACTCCGGAGTGAACAAGCGGCAGATCACAGACCTCGTGGACCAGAGCATACAGATCAACGCGCATTGCTTTGTGGTCACAGCCGACAACCGCTACATCCTCATCTGCGGCTTCTGGGATAAGAGCTTCCGGGTCTACTCTACGGAAACAGGTACCCTTCCTGTTGAAACACCATGTTCTCTTCAAAATGCCTATCGTTACACCCAAAGCTGAATATGAAATCCTAATAAGGTAGGCATTTTTATCTTCAGTGCCAGGATCCAAGTTTAATGTTTACATCGTGAGTAAATAACGATCATCCCATCCAGTCGGAATGCCAGCACGGACCCTGAGTTCATAGGACAAAGGGGACTGTTTGCAAATCTAGTCAAAGACCTTAAACCTCCCCTTAGCCTGACCCAAGCCAGAAGAAAATTATCATGACGTTACCTTGTAAGTTCTTTTCCTAAAAGGCCCGAGTGATGGTCTTGCGTTCTTGCTCAGAAGCAACCGGGGAAGCCGGTCTGCAGCCAGACCTGAACCGCCTTACAAATTCGCGGGTCTGCGGGTCGCTCTTCACCTGTTCGTGGAAGCGGGGTCTCAAACCTGCCCTTTCTGTGTCTCAGGGAAGCTCACGCAGATCGTGTTTGGCCACTGGGATGTGGTCACGTGCCTGGCCCGGTCGGAGTCCTACATCGGCGGGGACTGCTACATCGTGTCGGGCTCTCGGGACGCCACCCTGCTGCTCTGGTACTGGAGCGGGCGCCACCACATCATAGGAGACAACCCGAACAGCAGTGAGTACGGCCCGGGGCCGGCCGGCCGGCCCGCCGCTTAGGCGCAGCTTTCCTAAGTTGTTCCCGAGGCGGGGAGGGTTGGAAAGCATCAGTGGCAGTTTCTGTGGAATGAAGCCACGTTCAAAGTATCAACGAGCGCAGCTGCCCTCCCTTTATCTCCCAACGTCCTGTCCTTCAGAAACGCCCTGCAGCGTCGGCCGCGTCCCGGCCCCCCGTGTGGGCCCGCCCGCTGGACGGACACCCCCCCCCCCCGGCACCGCCGCCGCCGAACGTCCGTAGGCTTCCTCTCCCCTCGCCCAGGGCCCTCCACTCACTCTGCGAGCGGTCAGGTGACTGTCCCCGTCTGTGCATTTAACAGGGACAGGTCCCGGGGAAGGCAAGAAAGTGAATAAGGGCGTCTCTGTGTGTGCGGCGGTCCCTAAGCGTTTTTATCCGACGGGTTGAGATATTCTGTAGGGACAAAGACAAAACAAAACCAAAACAAAAATCAGGACTCTAGAGTAAAGTAATTTCAGAAAATATCACATATACTGTCACGCACTATGAAGCTTGCAAAGTTTGCACAAATCGATCTGTTGATGTTCATTAAACCCCCTGTTTCTCAAACACCCTTTCCCGGGGAGCCCTTCTCAAGGGAGGGCAGCTGCTCGTGCGCAGAACCACGGTCCCGAGGACACGCGGACGTGTGCCGGGCATGTCCCTCTGCCCTCGAGGTCCCTGCTTCCCAGCAGAGTGACACACACAATAGGCGCTCAGGAAATGCCGTTGAACGGCTGGAGAGCTAGAGGCGAGGCGGCCGGGAAACCGCCCAGCCTTCGGTGTGCGTCCCCCTGCCCTGCCGGGCGGGCGGGGACGGTGGCTGGTTTCCGCAGCGCGCGGGCGGGAGGCCCTGTGTGGCCGGGCCGCTCGGGTGGCGATCCGCGCACCAGCCCCCGCTTGCCCGGCGCCCCAGGGAACCGAGGCGGGACTTCAGGGCATGTCTGTGGCCGCAGAGGGAAGCCTTTCCCCAGAACGCTGTGCATCTACCACTGAGATCGCGTGAGAATAGACGAGAAATGTACGAGGTGCCACGTTGCCACTGCGTGGCTGGAGGCTGCCCCCCACCCCCGGCCGCTGCGGCCTGTGAGGCGCCGGGGACGGAAACGGAGTCATCGGTCCACCTGCCCCTCCAGCGCCACCCGCCTGATCTCTCACACGTTTTGGCAGGAAAACGGAAAAAATGGCGAGTGGCCCTATCGTAGCACAGAACAGACGATAGCGGATAGATAGAAAGAACTAGATGACCAAGTGCTGTCTGGCGTTTTGTTCTGTTGCCCACGGCTAGAGTTGGGGAGCGGTGGAGGGAGAAACCAGAAGCGTGTTATGCAGTAAGTAATGTCTCTCAGTGTAGACACCGAATAAAAGACAGTAAGCGCATCACTCATTTCAGCCTCTGTTCTGGGTTGCGAACTAAGACGTGATACTGGTTTAAGGAAAAAAAATATTGAACCTCACTTATCTCCTACCAGTTCAAACAGTTAGCTACCCATCCTGCATTACAACAAACGCAATACTGTAAATACTAATACTCTAATCTCCTTATTGACTCTTTTTAAAAACCATATTCTTTAAAAAAAAACTTTATTTTTAGTGGAATTCTGGTGTAAGGCACTTGACCTACCAATTATGTCTTTATTATTCTTAAATATGTGTATTATCACATCATTTTATCTAAATGTATTTTCACATTTTTCCAAATTTTCTTTATGCCCATAGTAGTATAACATTCACTAGAAAAGCTGAATGAGTCTGTGTAGCATCTTCTACTTATATTAACAAAATTAGACATTGTTATAAAAAAATTTTAAACAGAAAACTGCTATAAATCTTAACTAATTAACATCTTCAAAATGAAGCTCAGAAATGAGTATGTTTCCCATAAAAGGATTTATTTCTTGAAAGCTATCATCTGGTAGCAGAGATACGGTATTTTATGTAAAGAATTTCAAAGAAAAATGTTAAATTATAGTAATTACCTGTGTTAGCTACTTTGTTTTACATTATTTTCTAATGTTCTTTTAAACTGAAAGATGGCTAACAATTTCCTATAGCTTCGGTCCATCAGTTAGCAAAGAAGTTAGATGCAGTAATATTTAGAGTGCTTAAAGTTCCTTATGACAGGAGCTATATAAGTAGAAAGGTTTATATTTATTCTTAATAACAAAATGGTGAATATTGTACCTGTTAAAATGCAGTATTTTATTTAAGCTTTAAAGAACATGATTAGTCCATTAAGAAGTTACAGCAGAATACAATCAATGCACATTTTTCAGTATTACCTCCATATATAAGGATTCATTTTTGCTCAAAAATCCTTGTCATCGATATGAACCTAAACCGCTTTCACAAAACCCTCCTTGTCGGGACGCACTGGACAGCAGTGCGGACATTGGGCATGGCTTTGTTGCGCTGTGACCTTCAGCCCGAGGGGTGGGGGTCGAACTGCTGTCCTAGGACGCACAGGGCGTGCGCCTGCCGTGCTAGCGAGGCGGCCAGCGCCGATCGAACGCCGGCTGTGCGCTGCTGGTCCCGCCCTAGCAGCGCGGGACGCTGTGGAGCGCCCCCCAACACACACACACTGCGGGGGTTTGTGGGAATCTGCGCTGCCCTGGCCCCAGAACCGCCCCGCTGTGCTGACAGTCGCAGACATGTTGCGGGGGCCATGAGCTGTCCTCAGAGGGTGTTTGGCATCATTGCTGCTTTGAGCAGTGGCCACGTGCTTGGCCTACCCTCGTGGGCGCAAAGGAACGACTGTGCACATCTGGCTCCAGCCCCTTGCTGTACGCCGTCACCGCAGCGAATCGCCGGTCATCAGCCCGGGGCTTCGATCACTCGCCCGATTTGCGACCCAGTCCGTTCGAGTGGCCAGGAGAGGCCGCACAGGCCGTCCGCCTCCCCCCCTTGCCCTTTGTGTGAAGGCGGGCACGGCGCCTGCGGAACCGGGTCCCGTGGGGGGCGGGCGCGGGCGCGACGTCGAGTCGTGCTCGCCATCCGAGAACTCACGATGAGACAGGAAAAGGTGTTTCTTCTGTTCCAGCTACCAACTCGGAGGTCAGAGAATGAGGTTTGACATGTCTTCTTTTTTTTCTTTAAGATTTTTTAATTTTTATTTTTAGAGAGGGGATGGGAGGGAGAGAGGGAGAGAAACATCCATGCGTGGTTGCCTCTCGCGCGCCCCCTGCTGGGACCTGCCCGCAACCCGGGCTTGCGCCCCGACTGGGCATCAAACCGGCGACCCTTTGGTTCGCAGGCTGGCGCTCAGTCCGCTGAGCCCCACCGGCCAGGGCTCGACATGTTTTTGGCGCCCGAATGCAGCGCTGTTCCACCCCACGGAGCTGGTTGAGTGTGAATTCTTACTAAAGCGTGTGGCGCAGCGCCCGTAGGTTTGGTGGGTCGTGCGCCTCCACCTGGACTTGAAGGCGGTAGCCCTGGCCCGAAACGTAACATCCCGGCAGCCGCTGGGACTCAGGGCTTGGTCTTGGTGGAGACACCGAATCGCTGTGCGTGTCAGAGGCCGATCGAGTTTCTGCAGCACAACCTCATAAGCCGACAGGACTCACCGACTCGCCCGCACGCGGCCGAGGAGAGTCCTCGCTTCCGGACAAGGGGGCAGAGTAGGTTTGCAGTTGTGAGTACGCGCAACACAGAGTTCTTTCTTGGGTTGTTATTTACCAATTACGTATCATTTATTTGCATTATTTGTCTGATTGTTATGGTCACTACTTCACATCCTTACTGGGGACTTGTCTGTTAGGCAGTGAGGACGGGTAACTTAACCCGCTTTTGCCCACCTTTGCACATTCATGCTCTTCTTGCATGGGCGCCATTTTTTAGCGGGTGACGCTATCAGTGCCACAGAGAAAAAGATGGGTGATGGCTGTGGGTTTTTTAGGTGTGGAAAAAGTGTGTGGCTTTATTGTGCCAAGTATATTGTAGTGACTAACTTAATCAGGTCAGAAAAAAGGTTTTTTCTGATTATTTAATCGTTTCAATGAATTTGAAACAACCAAGACAGCGAGGCTTTGTAAACAGATTATTGCAAAGAGCGTCAGGCCACAAAAGAATAAAGCAAGAGCTCCTTAGCATAGGGTACAAGTTAAGTTGTTTTATTAATATATTTTCCAATACCAGTAATCACGGTTACGCTTTCAAACTTATAACTGTGAAAGCGGAAAATGTCCCCAGAGGGATGACCTGGGCCCCCGCTCGATGACAGAATGGCAGGCGAGGGAGGGACAGAAGCCTCTGGAACAGACTTTCTTCCACGAACATGGAGACTCATTTGGAGGTGACAGGAATTAATTTGCGCGCTCTGATTGGGGCGGCCTCCCGCCTGCAGGAGAGGCGCATCGGCCGGGCCGCCTGTGCCCCCAGCCGCTTGTCTCCCCGCCAGGCAGGTGTCTGGACGTGGCCGCCTGTCCTCCCGAGTCCCCTCGCAATGTGTCACAGCTCGTCTCTGGCCCGTGTTCTTTAAGAGGATCAATGCTGTCCCTGTGGACTCCCCGGGGCCCCAGGTTGCATTGATCTGGGGACTTGGCAGTTCTCATTATGTGCCGTAGCTTCCAACAAGATAGTCACAAGAGGGACAAGTCGACATTGTTGTCTCTTCAGCAGACACTTCACGTGCAAGGGGGCCTCCGCTCTGGATCGATCTGCTCTGAGAGTCTGTGCTTTTAATGCTCACGCCCGATAGGAGGCGCTGTGTAGGGAGCTGGTTGATACACATAGAGGAGCTTTTAGAAATCATGGCAACAGGAAACTTGGAAAGAGAATTTACTGTTCATCTTTTTTAATCAAATCTACAATTATTTGCGTAATATATACAAGACCTTGGCATTGTGCTTTTTTTCATTTCGCTTCTTAAAAGCAAGTCTTCCGGCGATGCCTGCGCCCGTGCACACAGTGAGCGGCGAAGCCCGTTGAAAGGGCCCCATTGCACGCGCCTCGGCTCTGGTCCCGGACCCCGGGCCAGCACAGCCAGTCGCCAGACGCGGGCCGCCCCCCGCCCCCCGCCCCCTCGTTGTTTACAACCGGCCTTCTGCCCGGTGACCGCCCCCGGCCCCGCGCGCCGCTGGCGTGCTCAGAGGTGAACGTCAGTCCGCCTTCTCGTGGAGTATCCGAGGCTGTCGCGTGTGCGGGGCTCCCGGCCTCGCGGGGCTCTTGGGGGCCCCGCGCCATCCGGGCTCTCGAGCAGCTTTGCACGCGGCCTCGCAGCCCTCTGTCCGCCGGCCTGACCTTGGGAAGCCTCACAGGTCCCATGGCGGGGAGGGGGCTGGCTGGCTGCGTGCCACAGGGCCCTGCCTTCCCCTTCGGGGAACGAGGCTGTGAGGGTCTCTGGCCTGGGGCAGAAGCGGGATGAAAACAGGAGAGGGACCAATCTGTCCTCAGCATCTGCTTCCAGTCACAGAGCAGGCGGGCGGGGGCAGGTCCGGGTGCTATGTGAGCCCTGCTCCGTGGGAAGGACAGGTGGCTCGCGACGGTGGCTGTTCCGGGGAGGCGATGGTGGGAGCTGGGGCCAGCGTCGGGACTTCGAGGGAAGGGGTTTGCCCTGCGCAGCGCGGGTCGGGGGCGGGGGCGGGGTCGGGGGCGCTGGTGACTGTCACCTCTGAAGGAGGGCGGGAGGGAGCGGGCAGGCTCCGTCTGCCTTCCCTTTTCCACCGAGTGCCCTGGGCGCACGTAATGGAGCGAGGCCACATCGTGGGCCGTTTCACGTGGGACCATGTGGACGGGGAAAACGCGAGCCCAGCCCCCAGGCCTGGAGGCCGGAGGCCGGACCCCGGCCGCAGCCGCGCAGGTGGCCGAGGTCCCGGTGTCCTGACAAGAGACTCCCCACTGACTCCATCCTTCCGAGCCGCCCCAGCAAATGGTGCCGTCGTTTTAAAAAACAGACCTTGGAACCGAAGCAGCGATGAAGCGACAGTACCCACCGATTAACCCTCGCGCCCCAGGAGTTCGGCGCGGGACCCGCTGTGCCTGACGCAGGCGCGGGCCTGCTTCGGAAGGGTCAGCCTCTGCGGGCGGCTCTGCGGGGCTCCGCCGGGGCCACGGATGAAACCCGCCCACCGGGCTTCCCCGGAGGCTTGCCTCGGCGTCTGGCGACAGCACCGGCCGAGGCCTGGGAGCCCTGCGGGGCTGCCGCAAGGACCGAAGCCCCCGCGCGCGTCCGTGGCCCCAGGAACGAGGCCTCCAGTAAGGGCCCCGGGTCCCCTTCCCCTGGAACAGCCGCCCAAAAGCGGAGCCGCTCTCCCCGAAAGGGCTCTCCTGGCGCTGCTGCGTGGGGGGCCACCTCGGAAGCCCAGGCACCTGTCCCAGGACCCAGTTGGAACATGCGGAAAGGGCGCTGGATGGAAAAGAGACAGAGCTGGTCTGCGACACGCCGTGCCCTTTCGGCGCCCCCAGCCATGCGCCCTGGGCCGCCGGGCGGCGCTCTGTCCCCCAGCACCTCGTCCATCACGGGGCGCGCTCCCCGGTGCCTCCCCCGCACGGTGACCCTCGGCCGCGTCCATCAAGTGTGGGCTGACAGTGACAGAATATGCCCAGAGTCCGAGTGGCTGCCGGAGTATGTGACATCTGTCCCTGGCAGTGACATGAAAAATAGGAAATAAGCTCCCCTGGCTGCAGCCCCCCCAACTCCTGACCCTCGGAATGGCATTTTATCTCCTTTCCTCCTGTTTAAAAGGGGAACCCGAGCTTTGCGGGGCCCGAGCCACTGTCCCCAAACGGGGACGCTCTGCAGCAGATTCGAAGTGTCTGGGGAGACTGTGATGGAAGATGAAGTATTTTAAGCTTGCGAGGTCAGACACAAGCCTTCAAAAACTTATTGCCTGATAGAAAATACATGACGTACATAAGAAATATTTTAAAGATTTTCACACATTTTTTTCAGTCCGCTGCAATCGAGCTGCATTGCTTTTTATTCCTTCTGTAGCATATAAGGAAGAAGTTTGGGAGACTCTTTGACTGTATGTAAATTTTATTAAACATGTAATTTCAAGGTTCTTCGATTCACTAGTCTCTCCGAGATGAAATGAATCACTTAGAAAAATTAAGGATGATATTCCATATAAAATCCTACCAATCCTTAGTTTTTATTTCACCAGGGAACTCAGGACACCTTTGAAGGATAAGGTCCTAAGTTACGTAAATGTGTTTCAGACAAATCCAGGGTCGCTGACAATCACCAGCGATTCTCTGCCAACAGCACAGCCCCGCACATAAACGCAGAAAGATGAGCCACAGGCACAGGCTGCCAGCCGCCCCCACACACGACACCCACACTCCACCCGAGTCAGGGTTGCCGCAAAGGCAAAATCGAAGCTGACGGATCTCGGAAACGCACATAAAAGTGTGAGCAAGCCCTGAGGAGACCAAGACGGGTGGGTGCCTTGCTGGGAGGCAGACGCCGTTCTTGCGGGCCCAGGTGGCGGGGGCCGCCGTCGGCCCGTGCGGTGGTGGGTCTGCCGGGGAGCCAGGCCGGTGTGCAGGCTCCACCAAGAGACGCCGGGAATGCAGCGGCCAGGCGAGCAAAGCGCAGAGACGAGGGAACACAGAAACACAGAATTCGCGCCCGAGAGGCGCGCTGTGCTCAGCCGCTGGGATGCGAGAATGGGGGCCCTGAGGTGGCTGGCGAGGTTCTGTGGTTCCTGAGCTGGCGGGCGGGTACGAGAGAATTCTTTTATCCTCTCGATCTTACCCATCGTTACAAAGATTTACTATGTAACTTTTAAAAATGACTTCATTCTAAAAACAAAGGGACATCAGAGAGCTGTGTCGAAGCTGCCACCCTGGAAAGACTTCGTGAGCTCGGAGGAAGAAGCAAGTCCCCAGCGGGGTGTGTCTCACCCCCCAACACGGCGGCCTCCTCCGGGAGGGCCGAACTGCCATCGGCCGCGGCTCTGAGCGCGTCTTCCTGGGCCCCGCGGCCCTGACCGCAGAACACCGGCTTGATTCATTGGGCTTCCGTTTTAAATTTCCACGGCATAATTTTTCACAGCAAAGTGAAATTTCATCCTTATAACTGGTGGGGGAGAAACGCTAGAGCATCGTCAAAGCACAGACCTGAAGTCGGAAGTTTTTCAAAGCGCTTTCCCACCTCCCGCAAAGAGCCCCAGCCGCCGGGGGCGCAGAGCCCGGCTTGGGGGGCCGCCAGGGGCTCCAGGCGCGTAGCCGCTGCGGAGCCCGGCCCGACGCTCCTCTCCAAGGGGAAGAGGTGACGGCCCGTGACCGACGGTTTAAACCAGGGTGACGGCCAGCGACACGCACAGCGGCTTCGTCATCTCCAACACCGGCTCTCTGCCAAGCGGGCGTCGTAGAACCCACTCACCGAGGCTCCCAGGGTACACCGGCGGCGTGCGCCGAGCCAGCCGGGACCTTTTGAAGATGAAGGCGGGGGGAGAGGTGACGGACGACGCCAGCAGGTGCGGTGCTGTTCATGGACAACGGGGACCGTGGGCGCTGCAGGGCACTGGCCTCCGCCCGGCCTGGCTCGGCGGCCCGGCCCCACGTGCCACCGCTCGTGTTTCCCGCCCTTCTTTCTGACCGCGGCCCCCAGCGGGGGTGGCTCCCGTGCGTCTCTCTGGTCCTCGGTCACGGCCGCCGCGGGCTGGCTTTGCCCGTCTACCCCGGGGACGGCCGCAAGCCCACCCACGCTGGTCCCCCTGCTCGGTCCCCCTTCTCCGTACTTTGCACCCCGGGACTGCGGCGGCCCCCCTCCGCCCAGGCTGGCTGCCCGGGTCCGGTGAAACGGCGCAGACGCGGGGCCCTCGGCGCAGCCCACCCCCTCGCACGCCTCCACGCGGCTCTTTTGCCTGGTACTCCGACCGCCTCTGCATCCGTGTGCGGGCTCCGCGGTCCCTGCTGTGCTCCGTGCACCTGCCTTTGTTCTTCACGCTTGTCACCACGAAGTGCCTCCCGTGGCGGCCAGGCCGGGCTGTTTGTCACGTTCTCGCCCGTTCTAGGTTGCGCCGCGTATCTGTCCTCCCCTCCTAGGCCACGGGGGGAGGGCGCCTGCCACTAGGAGGTGTCTGTGCAGGTCTGGGGGCGCCCGGCGGTGGGAGCGCTCACGGCCACAGCTCGGCTGGGCTCCGGCCCCGGGTTCGAACCCGTCAGGCCGTAAGGGCTTGTGCAGCTGGCACCCCTGCGAAGCCTGGGCTCCTGGGCTGCCAAGCAGGGGTAAGAGCAGCCGGCACCTCCTCCGGCAGGGCCGCCCTCCCCCGAGAGGCGGCGGGTCCGCGCCCTGGCATCTAGGCATGTGTGCGATGCCCGCAACCTGGGAGGAGGGAGCAGCCGTCACCGCTTCCTGACGGGAGTGCGCCCCTTTGCTCGGCGCCCGGCCCCCGAAACACCCTGTGCATTGGGCAGCAGAGGGGGCCGTGACCGGCGCACGGCCACGCGCGGCCAGGGTGGCCCCTCACAAGCGCCAGCGGCTGGGACTGCCGACGCAGGGGGCTCACGGGCACTGTCTCCCGCAGGCGACTATCCGGCGCCCCGGGCCGTCCTCACGGGCCACGACCACGAAGTCGTCTGCGTGTCTGTCTGCGCAGAACTCGGACTCGTCATCAGCGGTGCTAAAGGTCAGAGAGGCTCCTTCCGCTCCTCCTGCCGCGGGTCTTTCCCAGGGCCTCACTCCCTGCCGCGCCCGGTGCACGACCGCGTCCCGGGCAGGCTCTCCGTGGGCCGGCGGGGCCGGGCACTCGCGGCTCTTCCGTTTGCTGCCAGCGCCCACCAGCGCCAACCCACGAAGAAGCTCGCATGCAATGTCGCATGCCCCCCGCGTGCCAGCCAGGCCCTGGGCGACGCAGCTGCGGCCCTTCCCGGGGCCCTTCCCGGGGGCGGTGGCCCGTAAGCCCGCGTGGAGGGTCAGGGGGAGGGGGAGGCGGGCCGGTGCTCCCGGGAAGGCAGGTTGCGGGCTCCACGTCGAGCCCGGGGCCCGCCGCCTACGCTGGCCCTTCGCCGCCTCCGTCGGCGGACGCGGGTCGCCAGGGTTGTTAGAGCGCGGAACACCCGGTCACTCAGGGACGCTGCCCTCTTCCCCTCAGACTGTCCGATAAAAAATGACACCAGCCCACACACAACAGCTGTTCGGTGGGAAGGCACCAAAATTGCATGCATTTTGGGGCCATATCAGCAAAAATATATTTTTGGTGTTGCCACAGAGCTTAGTCAGCTGATGTGCGCCCTGGGCTGGGAAAGGCTGGAAATCCTGACTGGGGCGGGGGTTTGGGGGGTTGCTGTGTGTGTTTTGTGGCAGCCGAGTTGTCCAGGGCAGAGCAGGAGACTTTGGTTCTAACTTGGGCACAGATTCCAGTTCTTTACGGGAAGAATCTGGGGCAGGAAGGACCCCAAACTTAGAGAAACTGACAGAAAACCAAAGGGGCCAGTGCAGACGCCCCAGGGGAAGGCGACACCCGGGCGGTGGGTCACAGGCGCAGCGGAGCCCCTGCCGTCCTCTAAGCAGGAGGACGAGGTGACGAGGCCGGGCTTGAGGGGCTTTTTACCAGCCGATGAGTCAGTTATTTTTATGACTCAGACTCCTAAATTGTTTATCGTATCAGCACAATTTCTACAGGCAGGGAAAAGACAGTGGCCGCAAATCAGTCGCTCGCTGTACCACCATTGTGCCCCCGCCTCGCTCCTTATTGATCTAAAGGACGAAGGCATTCCCCTAACTGGAATTACCTGATTAATCATCTTTATAGAAAAGGTAAAACTCATTTTTGATACGAATGTGTCTAGGTGGCACAGTGTTAGAATTTTGATCTACCAAACAAAATTAGCAATTGTTTTGATGATTCTCCTCAACTTTCAAGAAAATATTTTTAAAAACACATTACAAAAAAGCTTAGGCACATTCAGCCTTTTATCCTCACATCGTTGATGAACTGTACCCTTTTCTAATGAACACTGTCGCATGGAGGCAAAGGCCGAGTTTTCACCCAGATGAAAACGCTGGCGAAACGCGCGTCTTATTTGACGGCTCTCTGTGCCGTCCGCGCCGGCCCGGCCGCCGGCTTCCCTCTGCTGCGCTAACGTCCGGCTTCTGGCGGCGCCCCGAGCGGTGTCCGGGCGCGGAGTGCAGATCCGGGTGACCTGACATGTGGCTTGTCCCCCCAACGGCTCCGGCCGGCGCCCTCCCCCCACCCCGCCCGCAGAGGGCCCCTGCCTTGTGCACACGATCACCGGTGACCTGCTGAGAGCCCTGGAGGGCCCGGAGCGCTGCGCGTGCCCGCGCCTGATCTCCGTCTCCAGCGAGGGCCACTGCATCATCTGCTACGAGCGAGGGCGGTTCAGCAACTTCAGCATCAACGGGAAGCTCCTGGCCCAGATGGAGGTCAACGACTCGACGCGGGTAAGGAAACGGCGGCAGGTTTCTGTGACGGGGCTCCTAACAGGGTTTCCCTGGCAGCCAGAGCGCGCGTGCCGGGGGTAAAGGCATCTGCGTTCGTGCAATGGAGTCCTTGGACACACCCAGTGTCCGTTCATCCCCGGTGACTAACTCAGTGAGTCAGGCTCCGCAGACAATGGCTGTCGTTTGAGCGGAACTTAGACGCGCAAGGTGTTTCTTTGGCTCCTCGTATGGACGGCGGCGGCGGCGGCACTGCAAGCCCCGCCACTGCGAGCGAGTTTACTGTGAAGGAGTCGGGGCTTCGGAACCCGGGCCCGAGGCGGCCCACGCCGAACGCCCTCCCCTCACACCTGACTGTGACCGCCGGTTTATCATCAGGGACTGCGTGGAGACGCGCTTCTGCCCTTTGTTCTAGAAGCCTTCCCGCTGTCACTGCTCAGGGCGGGAGTCTGTCCGTGCGTCTCCCGTTCCCGTGGGATCAGCGCGATAGCGTTCTCTCTGGCACTTGGGTTACTTTGTTTATGTCCTAACTTTGCTGAATTCCACGCTGGAAGGCAGCCCCCGTGGGCCGGACGTCAGAGAACCGGGCAGACAGCGAAAAGGAGGCAGTGATCACGGGGGTGAGGGGCTGCGGGGGGGGCAAGGCGCCGGGGGAGGGGGGGCCTGTACCGGGTGCCTTTCAGCAGCGCCCGAGCGCCGTCTGGGAGGCACTGGCAGCCATGGTTGTTTCTCACCTTTTCCGAAGGCCGTTCTCCTGAGCAGCGATGGCCAGAACCTGGTGACCGGAGGGGACAATGGTGTGGTGGAGGTCTGGCAGGCCTGCGACTTCAAGCAGCTGTACATTTACCCCGGCTGCGACGCTGGCATCAGAGCCATGGACTTGTCCCATGACCAGAGGTGAGTCGCTGGATGGGGGGGCGGGGGCGGGGGCGGGGGGCGGGGGGAATGGCAGGTGACTAGGGGCTCCGGTGAGAGGAAACGGGCGAGAAAGAGCGGGCACATCCAGACCCGCCCGCTCACGGGGTCCCCCAGCGTCTCTGTCCCCGGGCCCCCGGCTGGCCGGGTGGGCAGGGGTGCACATCTGTCAGCAGGCGGGGGCCGCAGCGCGAGGCGCAGGCCCACCAGACACCCCGCTGCCCTGCGCCACCCCGCGGGGGGCCCACGGTGCGCCCTGGCGGCCTCGCTTAGGCATCACTCGGCTGCGTGGCTCTGCCGCGTTTCCCGAGGTTCCCAGAGACACTGCGGCCTTTTCCTGGGAAGAACGGACATGAGCATTAATCAATCAATATTATCGCTCCTTGTCCTCAGTTTGCAACAGGATTTTGCTGTTTCCTAAAATTCACCCTGGGTTTATTGTAGGGTGGAAAGAAAATTTCGAATGTAAAGTCTTAAAATTCCTAAATTTTAAAAATAAAGTAACACTATGTAAGTTTCATACGGTGGCGCCCAAGCAGGCTTACAGCTGTGAGTATGCAGAACGGCCCGTTCTGGTACGATTATTTATTGTTTCTGGTGTTATTTTCCTACAATTTCTGCCCTGCCCTGCGTTTCACAGAAAAATGAAACGCATCTACGGCCATACCACCCTGAACGCGCCCAATCTCGTCTGATCTCGGAAGCTAAGCAGGGTTGGGCCTGGTTACTAGTTGGATGGGAGAAAAATGAAACGCTTATTAACCAGCTTATTTAAACTCTATGTCTATCTTTATGAGAACATTATTGGTTTTTACAATATTATAAATATTAAGACTTATGTAATAAATTTGGCAAAGCATATTTATAATACGGTAAAGTGGCACTGAAGTCACCCAGGAAAACGAGGCAATGTCACTTAGCTTGGGGAAGGGGAAGTTCACCTGCAGCACAGCCTGCTGCTCAAGGAGGCCGAGCCGGTTATTCTGAGCGCTCTGTGCCGCTGCCGTCCGTATCCGGATCAACAGGAGCGGCTTCGGGGTAGTTAGTAGTATGCCCGGGGCTGTTTCTATGTAAGGTAGTCCGTGTTCCCAAGTAGCTGGACCGTCATTCTCCGGAACCCTTGCTGCGCGGCCTGTGCCCCTTCCCGTCTGCCGCCGCCATGAGAGACGCACACACAACACGCCCGTAACCAGACGACGGACCCCAAAGCTCCCACGGGCCTGCTCCTGGCGTGGAGGGGAGCAGGGGCCGATCGACAGACCAGCAGCCGGGGAGCGGGGGCCGGGGTGGGGGGGAACAGCCGGGCCAAGTCCCGGCCACCGGAGCCGCCACGGGAGGGAGGGAAGGAGGGAGGGAGGGAGCCCATCGAGCCCCGGTGCCTCCGCCCCCACTCCCCTCCCGCAACAGCCCTGTTTTATGACCCTTGCCCCATGGAGCTGGGGCACGTGCCCACGAGTGTAAGCCCATAGGCAAGCGTGTGTTGAGGGTGCGCACCCCCCAGCGTGCTTACCGGGTGAGGTGTCCCATGCGAAGTGACACTTGGCTTGGCCATTCAGGAGCATGTGGGGGTGACCCAGCCTCCGCCTCCACCCGCCTCCGGGGCGCAGGGCTGAGACGCGGCGCACCCGCAGCTCCCGCGGGCACCTAGTGTGTGGCAGGCGCCGCGCAGCCCTCGCGCCCCGCTCACCCCGTCCCTGCTCTTCCAGGACGCTGATCACCGGCATGGCTTCCGGCAGCATCGTCGCCTTCAACATCGATTTCAACCGGTGGCACTACGAGCACCAGAACAGATACTGAAGACCAGGGCAGGACCGGGAGCCGCGGCGGCGCCAGGGCACAGGCGCCGCGGAAAGGCAGCCCCTCGGGTGGGAAGCCACCCCCGACCGCCCCCCGCACACCCGTCGCGCCGGCAGCCGTTGTCCGCCCGCCCCCGCGCCACCCTGCCGCCGCCGCCGCCGCCACGCAAGCTTCTATCATGTAAAGTATACGAATTAGGAAACGTTTTGGTAATTATTTCACATATTGTTGTCCATTGAGTAAAGGTAGACGGACGCGTCAGAAGAGACTGAGGAACCTTGTGTCCCGTTGTGGCAAAGTTGGAGCGTTGAACCGAACCTGCGTCCCATTTCCCGCCTCTTTTCAAGCTGAGAAAAAGAAACAAAAACATGTTTGATACTTTGTACATCAGATGCATCTTATTTAAAGGGATACTTTTGTAAAAGTAAAACCTTGTATAAAAAAACAAAACGTTTCTTAATTTTATTGTGGAGTTACAACTTGCATGTTCTTTAACCCTGATGTCCTGGTAGAAGGGGCGCATCCCGCGCTGGGAGACAGACAGATCCGCCCGAGGACACGGCCGAGGGAAGGGTTGTATTCGGGCTCAGTCGGTTATCTTTGACATTGTCACTAAAATATGGTTTGCATTTTTTAATCTAAATTCATCCCTCCTAAGTGAAATTCGCTCACAAAGCATTTGGATACTAAGCCATTATTTGCCGTTTGGGGTTCTTTTTACAAAGAAAACGCAGCCCCACCCTTCGCGGTTTGAAGACACAGCAGAAGGGCGCCCGGGCCGAGGCCTGGGTGCGGGAGCGGGGACCGCGGGAGCAGGGACAGCGGCCCCCGCCCCCCTCCCCCCACCTCCCGTGGGCCGGCGGCGCGGCGCGTGTGCGGGGGGAGGGGCTCGGACGCTCTTTCGTTGTTGCTGCTGCCGCTGTTTTGTTTCTCTCTTTGGTTCTTGAATAGCTTAGTTTCTTTAATCACGAGTTGGACTTTATTATAACAATAACTGAAGTTCTTTTAGGTTCTTGTGACACCCTCACCAAAAGCCACATCCGTAGCCTGAGGCGCTTCATCTCTTATGATATAACGCGACGGCTGGCCAATGGTTTCCGTCCATTGCACCAGTCCAGTTATACGCCCAGGGGTATATACACTTTATTTATGTTCCTTCTTTGTATATTGGGTGACCGTATCGTCATAGATGTACATATTGTGTCGGTAGGGCTATGAGGCATGTTACAGGAATGTAATTTTCTCAGAATTTACACTCACTTGCAGTGATTTATTTAAAAAGATAAAACAAGATAATGGGTTCTTTCTATTGGCACTTTGCACCAGAAACATATCATTATTTATTGATGTGATTACTTCTTTGTTATTCACCTTGTACGAGTAAGTTCTAGCACTGAATTCCTTCTTCGCTGTCGTTTGTATTTATGAGGTTCTGAAATGCTGGGGAGTCGGCATAATGACCCCCCACCCCCGCAGGCTGTGAGCAGTATCTTGAGTTTGTAGCTTAGAATCAGGAGGACGCTGAACATCTGGAAGACAAGTTCATTTCATCTTGAGATCATGGTGAAATATTTTGGATATATAAATTCCTTAAGCTATTGTAACCATGTTTTATTGCAAAGATGTAAAATACGCCAGATGTGTGTGAGTTGGAAATCAAAAAATGAAAAATAAAATATGCAAAGAATTCACTGATGGCTTCACATTTCATTGGACACCTCACTTACACGCATTCATTACGTCGTCATACAAGTGTAAGAAATGCACATCGCCTTGTACAAAAGCCTGCAGCGTCTGAAACACGCGATCGCGCCGTAATGAGGTTCTGTCATTTGCTGAAACATGAGCTGCACGGCTCGGCCATCTGGCAGGGATTTGGGGGCCACAGAGGCCGGAGGGAAACCGCCCTTGTTGTTTCTTCTACATAATCCACTTTGGGGGCTGTTTTTATTATTTTTTTAAAGGAACGAAATGCAGGTGATGGTGAAGGCTGTAATTGCTCATTACACGAATGTTACCAAATAATGCTATTTTCATTGGAGCCGCACTTTCTAGAATTTCGCGCCCGCCAGGCGAGGCGCAGGCGGGACCGAGGCGCAGGGTGGGCGGCAGGGGCCCAGCTGAGGGGCTTCTGTGACTCGCATCACCGGGGCGATGGCGCGGCCACCCGGGCGGGCGCGGAGCGGCCCTCGGCCTGCCCGGGACAGGAAGGGCACAGCCAGCCGAGCCCCCCGAGGCCGTGCTGGCTCCCTCGTGTCCCGGGAGCCCACGCCCATCCGTCACCGTCACCCACGGGCCCTCGACCCGGCCTTCCCTGCCGCCTGTCAGCCCCTGGGTCTGGCCGGCTGCTGGCTGCTGCCTCCAGGTCCCTCTAAGTCAACACCCCCTTCCAGAACCACCGGGTGACAGTCACCGACACCTCGACCAGCATCTGCGCCTCACGCCAGGCCTCTCCCAGCATGGCCCACCCTGCGGCCAGGGGCGGTGGCAGCGCCCGCCCGGCCACCGCCGCCGAGCGCCTGCAGGGCCCCGCGAGAAACGCCGGCGGGTGGACGCGTGCCAGGGAGGTCCCGCTGACTGGAATCTAGGGGGGCCCGACCCCAACCCCGGGCGGCCCTGAGGCGGACCGTCCGCGGGCGTGTGTTCAGCAGCGTGAACGTGAGGCGTGACGTCCCCACTCGAGGGGCACAGGCGTGAGGGGTCTCGCCTGCCCCCGAGCACCCCGCCCCCGGCAGCCCCCGAGAGCACCCGCCCAGCCACCCTGCTCCCCACGCAGAGGCGTCCCGCCCGCCCACCTGGATGCCTGGGGCGCGGCGGCCCGAAGCCGCAGGGTCACGCAGTCTCCTCGAGGGGCAGGCAAAGGCAGCCCTGACCCCCGCCCTCACCAGGGGACAATGACAGCAAGTTAAGCTTCAGGACCAGCTGCTGCCCCGTGTAAATGCCTTTCCATCAAACACGTTCTCGCAAGTTAGGCCTGGCATGCGCCCGGACCGAGCCACTGTCAGGCTTCCCCTGCGACCGGCTGGCCGCGCCGCCCCGAGGCCCAGGGAGCGGGGGTGGGGGGCCCGTCTGTGCCCCTCCAGTCCTGAGAGGCCAGGGAGGGGAGGGAGACAAGCCCCCAGGGGAAGGCGCCTTGGAGCCCGGGGCCGGGGGGGAGGCGTCCCCCCTCCATGGGCCAGGCTCCTTACTTACAGCTGGGGAAGACCGGCCCGAGGCCCCTGGGACCCTGGAGTGAGTTACCGGCAGGCGCCGGGAAGCCGTCTCCGATTCAGGCTGCAGAGCCGGCCAGATGCCCAGACGCCCTCGCGCGGTGGTCCCTCCAGAAGGGCAGGCCCAATGCAAATGCCAGAGCTTCAGGGTAAACGTCCGAGGGGGGAGCAAAGGAGCCCGGAATCCTCTTCTGGAGGGCGGCCCCTCGGAGGCCCGGCTTCCCCCGCTGGGGGGGCGAGCCAGAGCCCACCTGCAGCAGCGCGCCAGCTGGTGCCGTTGTGAGAGGCTGCGTTTGGCCTCAGTGAATTTGTTTTTAAGACTCAACACATCTGCCCGCTTCCTGACGGGTGATTCCCAAACGCACCTGCTCGCACCGCGCTGAGTCTAGTTTTTAACAGAAAACGGCAGGACCCCCACGCCCTCCCTCCCTATTCACCCCGTCTCGCCCCAAGTGACTTTTTTGTTGTTTCCTGGATGAAAAAAAGTCCTCGAAGGGAAACATTTTCCCGACGTGGAAGAGGTAAAACAAAAAAATGACAGAAGTGTCAGAAGGCACCCAGATTGACGAGGTCAACACCTGTGAGCAGGAGGAAACACGCCTCACAGGTGTATGGCATCAAAAGGGGAGGGCTTTGGGGTGCCTGTGGTTCCAACACGTGAGGGAAAAAACACACATTTTTTAAATAAACAAATTCCAGTGTGTTTTGGGCCCCCCTCCTTGTACTGCTGATCTGGCACAAAAGGAGAGAGTCCCCAGGGCCACCCCCCCAACACACACACACACACACACACACACTCCCACACTGAACATGGGAAGCCTGCGTCACCCACGCAGGGTTTGGGGATGAAGAGAGGTGGCCTGGGGTGGCCGGCGCAGCCCCCCGCCCCCCGCCAACGGCCAGCAAGTGCCAGCCCTCACCGTGCCCGTGGGTGCTGCAGGGCTGCATGTGTGCGCTGATTTCTTGCTTTGCTTTGTTTTGTGTGACCGAATGAGATGCCACTTGCTTCCTCACAGAGGTGGCGTTGTTCCAACAACTACCTGTGGGCCCTGGCCGGTGGCTCAGTCGGTGGAGCATCGTCCCATGAACCGAAAAGTCTCGGGCTTGATTCCCAGGCGGGGCGCGTGACCGGGGCGTGGGCTCGATTCCGGCGGGGGAGCGGCCGGGGGCCGGAGCGATCTGCGTCTCTCTCTCCCTGCCCCCGCCCCCGCACAAAGCACAGGAAGCTGCAAATGGAGAACAGAGGGACTAGGTGGAGAGGCTGCTCTGCTGACCACAAGCTTGGCTGTGCGGCTGCCACTGGGACACCAGCCCGTCCTGCGCCGCCTGGCGGGGCCGCCCAGAGCCGAGGGCAGCGGAGCCCCGCCCCACCGGGAGGGCATTAGGTGGTTTAGAGCCCTATCGAGTGCCTACTAGGTGCCTTGTGCCTGTCTGCAGCCTAAATGCATCATTTCTTATTCACACCAACAGCCACGTGTTAGCTGCTGCCTTCCCCCCGGTCCCCATGGGGGAGCGAAGGCCCAGAGAGGTTAAGTACACAGACAAAGCCTTTCTCCACGAAATCCCGAAATTCCATCATCATGGTTCACGGGACAATAAGTCAAATCAGTGCTGCTTTGAGTGCACCATTCTTAGTTGACTTCTTTCTAGTAGCACTGGGTAAAATCCAAGACGTAATAAATTCAGCTCAAGAGGGTAGCCCTTGGAAGCATGAAATTAGCAGACCGGAGATTCGTGGCTTTCTGGGAATCTCACGGGACAGGTTGTCTCTCACTGGCCCCGTACGTGCTGGGGGGCAGAGGACCACCCCCCGCATGGCCTGACGGTGGGGAGGGCAAATCAAATGTTTTGGAAATCACAGGTATTTTAAAAATGAGCACTG